CCGCACTTACTCTGGCCTTGGCCGCCTCACGGCTCAATGGACAGAAATTCTCCTTTCAACTTGGTAGTTGAAAAGTCCAGTGAGTTGTTTTGTGGTAAATGCATAACCTCTTATGGTGTTAAAAAATCAAGCTCTTCCGCCAACTAGCTTTCCCTTTCTGTCCATTTTTCTTGTAGCAGACGTCATACATCGAACATCAAATATCTTTCATATTCATCTTCAGGAATCTGAAGTAACAAAATATTTAAATTAAATATATTCGTATATTTTAATGGAGCTATTAAAATTATATTTTTTCCTAGGTAAGTACATGCGTGACAAATTGAATATACTGATTGATATTACTTCGAGTAATTTAGTCTTCAATGTAAATTTTCAAATTTAAAGGATTTTAAACCACGCGAGATCGAAATTTTCGCTAAAAGTTTTCTAGTAACTTATTGTGTTCATGTGTGTCATTCTTTTATTTCTATGTCTATCTTTATTTCTAGGCCTTTATTTCAACTACCATTGTGAGGTTGATATTTAAAATATAGAATTAGGCAAGTTACTGGACTGATCTTTAATATACTATCAGAGATAGCCCTTAAAGTTTCCACGTACCTTTTAGTTTCGTGAAATGCTTAATGAAAGTTCATGTTAAGGTAAAATCAAATAATTATTCAAAAGTGTGAACCTTGTGTGCATCTGCCCCGCTGCATAAATAAATTTTATTTTTTAATGATGCGTTATAGTTTGTTATTGCTTTCCTTACGGGGTTCGCATAACTTACCTGGATCGGATCATGTTTAAGTGGGAACTATGGAAATAGTAGAATGATGCTAAATGTTCTCTTATGGAGGAAATTAAGGGAGGAAAATTTGAAAACACAAGTCGAGTGAAGTTAGCATCTATTTAATTAGTGAATAAATAAATCTGAATCAACAATATTAGGTAAAAAATAAAATTATGAATGTAACACGGTCTTTAACTGGCTCTAATGATCTCATGCTCGGGCCAAAGGCCGTAGGCATTTCGTCGCCGCTCGATCGTTGAAACCCTTATAACGCCCTCGGTGCGTAAATAACTATTAAAACTCCGTACCAGTCGAGAACGGTTTGCGCAGGCGCGCCTGGAGAAGACGGAGAGCGAGATCCTGGAGCTGTCGCACAACGCCGTCAACCTCAAGTCCAACTACCTGGAGCTGACGGAGCTGCGGCACGTGCTGGAGCGCGCCGAGGACTTCTTCAGCGAGCAGGAGGGCGGCGGCGGCGCGGAGCTGACACGCGCGCTCGCCTCGGACGAGTCGGCGGCGGCGGGCGGCGTGCGCGGCCGCCTGGGCTTCGTGGCCGGCGTGGTGCCGCGCGAGCGCGTGCCGGCCTTCGAGCGCATGCTCTGGCGCATCTCGCGCGGCAACGTCTTCCTGCGCCGCGCCGAGCTCGACCAGCCGCTCGAGGACCCCACCACGGTGAGCGCGCGACCAACTTCCTTCTTTCTGTGGACTGTTCACTCTCATCCTTGTACTTCAACTTCTCTGTGCCCGAGGACCAATGGAAGGTTAATGTGTAGAAATTAGAAGCTTTCGCCACCACGGCGAGCGGCCCCGCGTCTCTCGCCTTGTTACTGCCCCCAAAACCTTCGTAAAGTAGGTAGTAAACCACATTTTCACGAAAATACAGACATTAATTTTTACGAATAGGGGACACTTGGTGGACTTGGGGATGTATTACTTTCGCTTTTGGCACCGATCCTTCGACTGAAAATTTCGCTGCACACTCGCATGACTACGCACATAATTCTAAATTTGTGACTATTATTAATCTTGAAACTTTTTAAAAACATGTATGGTGGAATTGGGCCTTGGTGAAAAATGAATTCACCTTTCTGCACCCACAACTTCCTGCAGAAAAGAAAAAAACTCTCAAGAGATTTTTAAATAAAAATAACAAATTAAGAGTTCACTTAAATTCAAAAAATCCTTTAACAGTTATAAAAGTACAGAGTGTTTCTTTCAAACCAAAACAAAGAAATCATAAAAATTTAATGATTATTTTTAAAAAATTGACAAATGTCTGTTTTATTACGTTTGTAAAAAAAATGAATGTATACATAGCTTTTTTCAAATGTAATATTGAAAAAGAATATTATCAAAATTTTCTTTTTTTAAATAGTAAAATATTTAAAAATACTTTTTATTCAGTTTTTCGATTTGGATGTTCTCAATTTTATCTACAGAAAACCTTTAATTTCCAACAATGTTAACTCATTTCCTATTCTAGAAAGAATAAAAAAATCTCCTTTTCTATTCAAATCCCTTGGAAGAATCCTGCATTCATGTGAAGTCGAACAGAACTGAACATTAGGAAATCATAGTAAATCCTTGAATGGTTGTGCACAAGGAAGGAGAGAGGAGGGGAGTTGAGTGTGAAAATTTTGAAAGGGGCCCTGTAGCCTTATGTAGTAAAAACATTGTCTATTAATAAATATATTCGGTCCCTGATTTCTTTCCCTTTTTTTCCCAATGCAATAAGAGATCCAGATACGTAGTTCATCTCCTCCTCTTGTTTTGGTATATGCCTTTGAATGAACCCTTAACAAGAAAATCTCGAGATCAAAATAATCTGTGTTATCTGATTATCAATATTACTATGTTTCCTTGCTGGGACCCAAATTTTGTTCATGTAGAGTGAAGTTTGTCTTAAGTGAGGACATTTGTAATTTCTATTAAGTGAGGGTTCACAGAAAATCTAAATTTGGGTAAAAAAGGACTTTTTTAAAAATGTCATAAAATTTGAAAGAATATCAAAATGAGATTTCTTTTTATTTTGAAGGAAGTTGTCTATATTTTTTAAGCCTGTTAAAGATATATTTAATTTTAGTGAACAAAGGCCACAGAAAGCTTTGAAATGCATGATTTTTTAAAATTAGATACAGTGTTTTAGCTATGCATATAGGGATGATTCAAATTTCATCTTGTGTGCTGTAAAGAGGACATGGTAATCTTTAAGGGAAAATAAATCTCATCCCTTTTGAAGATGAATTGCAGATCATTTGAATTTGTCCTGTGTTTATGAATTCATCCTGTGTTTATGAATTCATAGCTGGGTCGATGTACAATTTCTGGTAGACATGATTTGCATGGATGAGAGTTTGTAATGATTCATGGGATTTGTGTCTGTTATCTGAAGGTGTGTTTCCCTTGAAAATTATATCACATCTCGTGCAGGGATATGTTTGCAAAATACAATGAGATAATTATTTTTTCGATGAAGATTTCTGCCATAGTCAACTAAGTCAAGAGTCTTAGATGAAGGGAGATTAGAAATTCCAAAGTAAATGATATAATGTGAAGTGTTCTGAAATACGATTAGAATTCACATGGTAATGATGCAGGTAATGATCCAGACAGGCAGCAAAGATTTTGGCATGTTACTTGGCTGTTTAAGTAATGTGCAATGGGGGATAGGATTCACATGGTAGAAATATTAGTACAAGATTGTGAAGAGAGATATTGCAATTTTTTCTATCAAAATCTTCTTCAGAGTAAAATATTTCTGATATTTGTGTTTTAGTAATATTTGTAGCATAGCAATTTGTGTATAGTTTTTTGTCATTAAAGGTCACATCAACTTCTAGGTTATTAGTGACCCCTATTGCTTGTAACTGTGTGGTAACTGACGGTGACACTACATGATGATGATGATGATGATGATAGTGGGTGAAAGGATGAACACAATACAACCATGCCCAAAGCGGGACTCAAACCTGCGATCCTTTGGTCCGAGATCACTACAGCACTACTACTTAGCGATCTTGGCCACCGGATTGGCAGTTTATTTTGGTTTTGAATGAAATCTTACTTCTCCAACATCTTTCTAAATTATAGATTTTAGTTGAATAAAATAGTTTAATGAAAAATAAATCACAGGAATAATAATACCAAGAATTTTTAAAAAATTTTTATGAAAATATTTCTTTTATTATGAACTATTTTGAGACTGATATGACTTCAAACATTGAAATCATAGTTGCATTACTAAATCTCAAATTGCATGAGGAACTGTTGATATATTATGCACTTCATTATTCTTTCTCCAAAATCAAGTTAAATTTAAAATTCCCCAAAAGATGTCAAATGTATAGTAAAATTTTAAGGAACATTGAAGTGGCATCAAAAATAAAAATGTTGATCTTTGTTACAGGGAAATGAAATATTTAAGACCGTCTTTGTAGCTTTCTTCCAAGGAGAACAGCTCAAATCACGCGTAAAGAAAGTATGCAGTGGCTTCCATGCTTCATTATATGCCTGTCCCACCTCGCAGAGTGAACGACAGGATATGTTGAAAGGTGTTCGTACTCGTCTGGAAGATCTCAACTTGGTATGTAAATTGTTAAGACATTTGTAATATGTATTGATGTAAATATAATGCATGCAGCATATTTGTAATAATTGCATTATATTTCTGTGAAGAAAGTGCAAATGTGAATAAAATAATGCATTACTGGAGCACTCACAACTTTTGAAATCATTTGTTTGTAAAGAGAAAATGGTTTGAGTGTATTGATTTTACAATACATTTGTATTATTTTACTGTATACATGTACACTTATTTTATTGTATTTTTTCTGAATACTTAGAAATAAATTTGTTTTATATTCTTAGGTTTTGAATCAAACTCAAGACCATCGTCATCGTGTTCTTCTGAGTGTATCAAAGGAACTACACCCATGGATGGTGATGGTGCGTAAAATGAAAGCTATTTACCACACACTCAACATGTTCAACATGGATGTAACCAAGAAGTGTCTAATTGGTGAATGCTGGGCTCCTGTCAGAGACTTGCACCTTGTACGACAAGCTCTGGAAGATGGCGGTGTAAGTGTTTTATTGGTTAATTATTAATGTGAAAAATAACGTATCTTTACCTTCATGAAACTGATTCTTTCTGTGTTTATGAAAGATTCAGACACAGTACTAATAATACAATACACATCCCTTCCTTTGATAAGATATTATGTAAGATTGTATTTTATTTAATGTTCTTGAAAATTGTATTTTATTAAAATTTGGTCCAGTTAATTGAGCAAAAAGAAGTTGCACAAAATAATTTTATATGGGTGAATGATCCTTGTTAAAGTGTGAATTTTGTTTTGAAAATTATTTTGTACAAAATCACAGTTCTGCTCTGTTCTATGTACGTATTCTCAAATCATTTTGGAAAGAATTTTTCATTCAAAAATTTCCATTAACCATTTAAGTTAGAGAGATAGACATAAAGTAGTATGTGTTTAGATACCTTTTTTATTTTAGTAACGTGTTACAAAACTAATTTTAAAAAATGTTATTCAAATCAGGTTTAATTGAATCTTACTTGTACCTGAAACTTTTTGAGATAGTTTCCTATTTTCTATTATCACTTATACTACATATTATCATGAATTTAATTTATTGTTCTGAAAAAGTAGATTATAAGAATATAGATATACACTGTTTTCTGTAGGCCCCTCTTGCTTTCTTAAAGTTACACAATCTAGTGACAACAATAAGGTATTAAATTTCCCATAAACCATCCTCCTTTGATGGGAAGGTATATAATAATGATAATTTTAGTCAACAATTTTTATCAAAATTTCAGTGATTCTCTTAGTCTGTAGAGCATTTATTACTAATAATAAACTTTTGAAATATTTTTCTTAAGACTTTTGCTAGCCTAAAAACGGTTCACTTGACTTCCTGTATGATCCAATTAAAGACTTTTATCCTATGATACTCTGCTCTCAGCTGTGAAATTAGTGATTTGCATGCTCACTTCATCTATCCTGATTATGACTCTTTCAACATGGTCTCAAGAGTTGTAACATGCTTTTATCTGTTTTTTATATTTCAATTCTAATCCATTCAAAACTCCTTGAACGCTGCACATAAACAACAAAAATAATTTTTGTATTTCACAAAAATACATTGAAAATATGGCATAAATTCATAAAACCAGAAAAAATAGCAATGTTACTACAATCTGACCACAATTAATAGGGTATTTAAAGGGAGCCTAAATTAGGTTTTAAATGGAAAAAACCTAGATCAAATTGCAAACAAAGTTAAATCTTGATTGTATCTGTTAAAACAGCGATGTGAAGCGAATATCATTTTACAGGAAAAACTTAAAACACTTTCAAATATTAATTTTTCTGTTTCATGTTATTTCACAATTAGATTTTGTATAATTAAGTTATTATTCTATATTGATATATTTGAGGTACCAATTCCAAGTACAATTCTAGGTAAGTAGTTTCTTGCTTCTTAATGCGTGCTTAAAAAGCGCTCATAGCTGGTTTTTTCAGATGAAACTCTCAAATGACATATTTACTATCAGTTTTATTTAGTCTTCAATACTGTTTCATTTTTCCCCTTCCTTTAATTCTATGCAATTGATTTGTTCCAGAGAGCATGTGGCAGTTCAATTCCTTCTTTTCTTAATGTTATTGACACGGGAGAGCTTCCTCCAACTTTTCATCGTACGAATAAGTTCACTTATGGATTTCAGAATCTTATTGACTCCTATGGAGTTGCTAGTTACCGCGAAGTTAATCCAGGTCAGTAATTGAATGAACAATTTTTTTTCTATTATTGTTACATTTTCAAATAATATTTACTTTTTTTTACAGCCTTATACTCTATAATTACTTTCCCTTTCCTTTTTGCAACTATGTTTGGTGATGCTGGTCATGGTTTGATTCTTTTCCTTTTTGGATTGGCAATGATTTTAAAGGAGAAGAGCATCATTGCATCTAAATCAAAGAGTGAAGTAAGCTACTTTCCACTTTGAAAACTTGTATTTGTAAACTGAAAATATAGTAAGATGATTTTGAACTTGCTCAAATTATATTTCTGAATATTTTAATGAATATTAATTTCATTGAATATATGTATACATAACTTACAATTAATTCTACCTACATAATTCCAACATAATTGGAGATAATATTACATGCAATTAATTTTGCATTTCTATAATGTCAAATAATGCACATTGTTAAAAATCAGAACGTTATTTTTGTGATATTTATTGACATGTTAGTTATTATTATTATTTTCATGCAATTATTTTTACAGATTGGTAATATCTTCTTTGGGGGACGTTACATAATTCTGCTAATGGGTATATTCTCAATATACACTGGACTAATTTACAATGATATTTTCTCTAAATCTATCAACATTTTTGGTTCTCGATGGGTTATTAATAATTTCACTATCGCTGATCTAAAAACCTACCATGAGCTGATGGTTGATCCAAAAAAATCATATGAAGGAACTCCATATCCCTTTGGAATGGATCCAATATGGCAGGTAAAAATATAATGAATGAATAAATCTAAAATGTTTCAACATTCTTAAATTTAATACTCTTGAAGTGAAGGAACTTTTAACATTTACTTGACTAAATGTAATTAATCAAAGAAAAGTATTGGAATCTCTCCTCATATTTGACGTAGAGATTTCTGTGGTAAATTCCATTTAGAGAGGCTCTGAGACAAAATTATCATACCTGTATGGATGCTCATAATATGGACAGATTAGAGAATGACATTAAAGGATTGAAATGTTTCTACTAAATAAAACTAACTAGTGTTACTTTTATTTATTGGAATAGGTAACTTTTATTAAAGAGAAAACCAGAATAACTTGTATTACATACTAAATTTTTCAAGGATAGGCTCTACACTGTGTATCTAAATAAAAAAATTGTTTCTATTACAGTTGGCAGAAGTTAATAAAATAGTGTTTCTGAATTCATACAAAATGAAATTGTCCATTATCTTTGGAGTGGCACATATGATATTTGGAGTGTGCATGAGTGTTGTAAATCATGTGTAAGTATTGTAAATACATTAACATGCAAATTTTTAATATGAATGTCAATGTTGATTTTAACTTCTTTAACCTCAAAATTGTTATTTTTCTACATATGTCACACCACAACGTTTTCTTGTAGGCATTTTGGAAGACCTGTCATGATTCTTTTGGAGTTTGTTCCTCAGATTGTGTTTCTGTTGCTCCTTTTTGGATACCTTGTTACGCTGATGTTTGTCAAGTGGTTTACATATGCTGCTACCAACGGTAAGAATGAAAGGCCTGTAGTTGTAAGTGGTATTAAAGAAAAGTTGAAAAGTAAAGTGTGTTAATTGGAAAATATTAGCAGAGAACAATTCTTTTCCTACCATAAAACTTATTTTCATTGTAAAATATAACTTCTGGTTTAAAATTAGGAATAGTCTGATTAAAATGAGGAATTTCTTAGCATTTTGTAATTGCGTGAATGATTTCTTTCCTTTCATTTTGTTATTCTCATGTCAGTCAGTCTCATTTCTTCTGGTGTTACTGACCTTATCATCAATGTCTAAAAGTCAGCTCTATTCTGCATTTTTAATTTTTTATTTCTTCTTGAAACCTCCATGTCTAAGATTCTGTTAATATATTGTCATTCATCCTTTTTTGACAGTGTCCTTCTTGGTTTAAATCTCTAAAAAAATCTCATCATTATCAGATGATAGAGCTCTTTAATTGGAAAATTTGTAAACTATTACTATATTATTATTTAATTATTTAATACTAGAAAAGGATTTTAAGGTGTAAATTATGGTCGTAAAAGGGGGGAAAAGATTCTGAAAATTCATACAAAAAGCTGCAAAAAAGGTACTGCTGAAACAACTTTATTAAGGTTTAAACCAGTTAAATCAACTCGGTTTCTACAATATACTCATTTTGCAATATACCAATTTGCACCAAATTTTTCTTTTTATAGAGTCCTTAAGATGTTACTTTATCCAACACTGTGGTAGACAGAAAACTGTTAAACAATTGCCTGTACTGACTGTACTGTGCCCACATGAGCACTTGCCTGTGCAAGAGCATGGAGTTTCCCATGCGGGCAACTTCCCCTGACTCCCCTTCCTTCCCCTCCAAATCCACAAGCGCTACCAGTGCTCTTTTAGCGACATGATGGCAAGGGTAAACATTTTCTTCAGGTCGCAGACAAGTGGATTTCTGCACACCCATTTAAATGTTCTGATTGGCTTGTCTGGGCAGCACTTTAAATCCAGCAGGAAATAGTTAAATTGTAGCAGCAACACTGTTGAAAATTAAATTTGACTTTACAACTGCAGATTGACAATTGTTGTTGGGATATAAATTACTGGTGGTTTATGTAAAAAATATTTTAATATTTATTTACTATTGTTGACTTCTAATTAAATGAGATTTTAAAAAGCTGTCCAAGAAGGTAAAAAAATACATTTTTATGCCTAATTGTTTAAAAACACAGAAAAGAATGAAGAAAAGGGTTCTGAAGTATAAAAAAAGAAGTAAAAAGTGGCAAAATGTAGTAATCTCACAAAAAGGTGCAGCAAATTACGTTTATTTCTCTTCATTTAATCCCCCTGAATACATATATTAAAAGGTCAGTATGAAAACAGCTATATTTTTGAAAAGGTGCTGCACCTTAAAATCTTTTTTCTATTTATTTCTTAAACTGAATGCTTTTTGTAATGAATGATAACTGGATATGTAAAATTATTACTCAGAATTTAGGAATAAAATTAATCTGGTATCAGAATCAAGTGCTCACAGTGGTGGATTTACCATTAAGCAAAATAAGCTGCAGTTGAGGCTCCAGAGTATAAGGAGCCTCAAAATTTTTTAAACAACATTGCATATTTGCTAAAAAATGTATGAAAATGTATTTACACAAATTTATAATTAGTCCCAATAAAAAAATAAATATTAAATGAATTTGTTAAATATGCTATTGGAGTTAAAAACAGATTTATTCTTAACTAGCATTTTCGTTCTCATGTATTATGTTTTGAAGTTCTCGAGTGCATGACAAAATCCATCTCGTTGAAATCCATTAATTGGCTGATTGAGACAGTCTCTTTTCATATACCTGGTATTTGGCACATTTGAGCACAAACATTGAGATTGCCTTTTGCATTTTTTAACGTAAATGATTATAAATGTGCAGGTAAAAGATCATTTAGTAAATTTAAGAGTTAAAAACTAGTATCAAGCTACTATGGGACAAGACAAACTCAATTCACTAATAATAATGTTCAGTCAAAATGATAAGATCTGAGCTTTTCCTTTTGATGATACTATTTCTGATTTTGTGAATAAAAAAATTGTGTAAAAAATAATATTTAGTAAGTTTTGTTTTTATTAATGATTAATGCATTTTTGAATGATATTGCACCTAGTTTAACATATAGATATTATTATGTTATAGACATCTGTTATCAATTTTTAAATTTAAAATTTGAATAAATAAATTACTTGAAAGCATCTTTTAATTGTTTAATACATTTTGAATAAAAGGTTAAAATCTTCAATCTCAAAAATGTTACTGTAGCCAGTAAATAGGGGATCTTTTAAATGGTATGTGGTTTAAATGGCGCTGACAGCTCACTTCCAAAAATTCACAATTGATGACATTCACATTTAACTTGTGAATCAATTTTAATTGTTTTATTTTATTAGGCAGTGTGTTTAATAATAGTGTATAGGGTCGAGTGCCAGGAAATGTCTTTTCTATTGCTTAACTGTTTCTATATAATGAGATGGTATAGTAAAAAAATAAAAAAAGAAAATAATATTTATGAAGAAAATAAGTATTATTAAAATAACATTATTAAAATTGTATTATACTAAAAAGCCGAATATGACTATAATGAATATTAAAAATGTTGTAAATATCTGCTAATGACATCCCATCTTGATACGATTTTTCACCTAGTTTCTCTTCATCCATTAAGAAATTCTGAGATTGTCTCTTGCTTTGGTTCTGAACTGTAAATGTAACTTTATTCACTCCCTATTTTGCATAAGGTCTTTATTATTACCTCATGGTATGTAAATAAATGTAAATGATGTATCATAGAAGAGAGTAAATTCAAACTGTGATAGTAAAATCAATCATTTACCATTTTCTTATATTTACATATGGTAACTTTTTGTGATGACTCTTTCACTGTGTTGGCAACCTTAGACACTAATTAACACAATTCATTTTTGATGATTGATTTTACCCTCTTCTCTTGCTACTTAAAAATGATAGATGAAGTTTCTAGAATGCATACTAACTACTTGTTGATTTTTATTATTTCAGAGGAATTTCAGTACACAGAGGCTTGTGCTCCTTCTGTGCTAATTACCTTTATTAACATGATGCTCTTTGGAAAAGATGAAGTATTGGAGAACTGTGTGTCTGCAGAGATGTTTCCTTACCAGTCACAAATTCAATTAGTGTGTGTTGTAGTAGCTTTGCTCTGCATTCCTGTACTTCTCTTAGGAAAGCCTCTGTATGTTCTCTTTTTTGGACATCCACATGCTACACATGTAAGTATTAGTTCCACAAATATTTATTATTTATTCAAACGATACCCCTTGGAAAAAATTTTGTAACAAATTTCACTCCAATCACGTGTGTGATTGATAATAGATATTAATTAAATTATTTAAATTAATTTAAATAATATTATTAAATTAAACAATGAAAACAATGTAAACAATGAAAAGGAATTATTGTTAAAAATGAGTAATTCAAATGATTCACCTTTTCATTCTAACTGTAAAATTTCCATTAGCTCTTAACTTGTAAGGAAACAATTATTTTTTCTTAATTTTGATCCCACATGACCATCCTGTTTGGTGGCTATGAATTTGTTTTATTCACAACACTGTCTCTTTGAAGTATTGTAGACTCTGTTTCGAATCTTGAAATGGCATCAGTGAAAATGGAATACGTTTTTCATTCTTTGCACTTAAGTAATCACCAGCACTGAGAACAGTACATCATACACAGAGAGCTTCATTAAAAGGGATTTGAGGCTATACTCAAAAGGAGGATAGGATGTTTCATGAACCATTAAATCCTGTCGGTATCTATTTAAAAAAAAAAAAAAAAAAATTAACAGTCTCTGATTTCTTAGAAACACAAAATACTACCATGACTTCATGTTACCTAGGCTTGCATTTATATATCCTGCTTGATCAAAATCTCAGGCTAGGAGAAAAAAGCACAATAATGATGAAAAGGGCAAAAATAAGATAAAATTGCGAAAATAGGATTCAGAAGCTAAAATAAGGCAAAAAAAGACAAAATAAAAATATGAAAGAATGCCAGAAGCACAATTAAGTGATACCTATTGTCAAAAGTCATGAAATAGTAACAATAACAAAAAAGCATTTTGCCAAACTACCAGACTCTACTGATGACTTAAAACCTTTGGTTTATTAATACAATCCATTAGAAGTTCCTTCAAATGCAAGATTTAAAAAAAGTCTGGTATGAAACATTGTTCATAATTCTTTAACTTCTCTCTACACTAATGTATCATACTGCTTGTGGTATTTACTTAACTGTTCCTTTTAGAGTAACTAAAGTTCAAAGATTATTTTTTAATTAAAACTCGTCAAAACTATTTTAGGCATAATGAAGTGAAATGACTATTTAAATATTGTAAAAAGTTTAATTAACTATCCATACAAGAACAAGTTATTTTTATTTTGAAAATTGTATTACTACTATTACATTTTGGTAAAACCTTAAAAACACATTTTATAATAAGGTATATCATAAGTTTTATTAAATCATAAAGGAAAGATATTGCAGTACTTTTTTCCCTTTGAGATTACATTTATTTTCAGTCTGTCCATTTTTTCATTGAACAATAGTAAATCATATAATACAGAGGAGAAAATTCAATTCAAGTTCACCCATTGATAAAATCTCTCTTAGAACTAACTTGTTGAAAATGGCTGCAATTAAATTGCAAAATCTAAATCTAGATGGAAAATGAAAATTTAACTTTATAAAAATTATGTGCTATTTACAATTGAAATCTAATAGGTAATTATCATATCATTAAAAATTTTGATGAACAATGGTATCAAATAACCAAAAATTATATATGGTAAATTGTTATTGTATGGTGAAATAGAATTTGTAATGTAATGTTTATCTTTATAAATTTGATTTAAAATTATTACTTTTCTACTTGACAAGTTATGTTTGAACAGTTAAGAGGGTCCCATTTGGATCTTCTGCACTGAGACCCCCAAGAACCTACAATTAGTATCTGCACAGGAATGACTAAAGACAAGTTCACTTCAAAATATTTTATAGGTCCTCAGTTACTGTAGAAAAAACAAAAGGACAGAATTGTCCAAAACAGAAAGAATATATAAGTAGTTTATATTATGATTTGAGCTTTAACATGTCATATAACTTGGGGAGCCAGTGAAAATTTTATCTCTTGCTTTGTTTGATACCCAAACCCTAGTTTTTCATCTCACTCCAGTTTAGTTATAACAACAATAACTATTACTGGATTGTATTGTATTGTATTGATTTATTGCATTTGTTGATAATAATTTCTCAGAAACAATAAAGTCTTGTTAAAGATAATTTTTTTAAATATAAATTAATACTGGATAATTAGTTTTATTTTTGAAAACAGCTTAATTAAATTACTAAATTAGAATAGATTATTGATTTTATTACACTACTAGAAGTTTCCATCATTGTGTGATCTATCTTTTTGTATTAAAAAGTAATTGGCTGAAGTACTTGTTTCTCTCTTCTAGCACAAGAGTAATGGAGATATCAACCAGGGTTTGGAATTGCAACCAGAAATGGTTGAAGTGACAACACCTTCAGCAGGACCTCCTCAAGCCCATGAGGAAGAAGAAGCATTTGGTGAAGTAATGATTCACCAAGCAATTCATACCATTGAATATGTGCTTAGCACCATTTCTCACACAGCTTCCTATTTGCGTTTGTGGGCTTTATCACTGGCTCATGGCCGTGAGTATTTTCTCTCTATATATGTTTTACATTTCATAATGTCAATGTGGTGTTAATAATGAATTTAAAAAAGTTTACAAGAAAGTAAACAAGTGGTGTGTGCATATAATTGGCAGACTTATTATGTTCACAGAATTATCAGAGGTGTTGTGGAATATGGTACTCAGGATGAGCTTCAAAACTCATGTGGGATATTTAGGTGGCATTTTTGTATTTGTAATCTTTGCCTTTTGGGCATGCCTCACTCTCGCTATTTTGGTAATGATGGAGGGATTGTCAGCATTCTTACATACATTACGACTCCATTGGTAAGTTTCACTTGTAAAAATGCCATTTTGGATCATTTTAAACATTTAAAATTTTTAAAAATTTTAAATTACTCAATATTGAAAAAACATGAATTGAACATACAGCTTCTTGTTATAATCTAACAAACCAAAATTGTAAACTCCGTTTGTTTAAGGAAAGTTTTCTGTTCTTCTAGTGGGTAGAGGAGCAGTATTCCTTCTCACAGTGCAATATTTCTGCTGATGTTACATTGTTGGTCTGCTTCTGTCTCTTTTACCTTCCAATCTGTAGTTTAATGACATCAACGTTGTTGTCAACGTTTGTCCATTCTTTCTTATGACTTCCCCATTTCCTTAGAAACGAACTAAAAACTGATATTATTTTATTCTTCTACTAGTTTTTCATTTTTTTTTCATTTGGGGTAATGTAAGCTTTCATAAATAATTATGTAAGGTTTGCATCACCCTCCTCACCTTGCATTTATAAAATGTAAAAATTAATAGTAAAACAATTTTAATTAATTATGTTCTCTAAATGCTCTATTGACAACAGTGCAATAGGGAGTGGCAATTGCAAAGCTCCACAAAGTAACATACAGAAGTGAAGTTAATAACATATATTATTTAAAATATTATTAATTTGGGATTACATAAACTTAACTTAAATTAATTCATTACACTTTCTAAATAAAACCTAACCATTACCAACTGTCAGAATTGGTTCATAATATTGGATACACCTATCAATGAAGACTGGAGAGAATTTTTGGGGGAAGCATCCATGTTGCATTACAAAATTTCTGCTGACAAGCCAGGCAGACACAATGGTGGGAGTCTCCAGCATTAACTTGATTGAATTCTTAAGTACACTAGAGATCTGTCATGGCTCAACCGCACTTGTATATTTCTTCCATGGCCTATCTCTGACCCTAGTCAGATTTTTCTATATCAGTGGAGAAAAGGTCATTTAAGGGTGGGTGATCAGCCCATCGCTCTGTTCTAACAAATTGGAAATGGGAACAGGGTAGGGAAGGAGGGATCACGCTCAGTCCATGACCTATATTGAAGGATGCTGCTTCGGCATATACCTGGAAGAGATTGGGAAACCATGGAGAACACTGATCAGAGCCCATAACTTAGATCCCAGCAGGTGCCACAAACTTGCCAATCCTGAAGGCATCAAACAAATTTTCCAGCACATATTGAAGTTTGACTTAACTATCCTAAGCACTAGGATGCTTGAGCCTTAAGTTGCAGTTTTAACATTCGTCCCTAGCAATGATGATACTTAAGATCAGTTCTCACTATTTTCTTTGTAATCTAACAAGTTTAATTCAAATACCATTAAATAATTTATGCATCATGACTTTTTGATCAATGTGTATAGTATTTGTTTTGTTGTCTCAATATAAGACTGAAGAAAATAAATTATTTCTGTAAATATTAGCAAAAAAACTAATGCCTCTTACCTGTAAGTAACACAGTGTATCATTACCTCAACCCTTTCTACTTTCGCTTTTATGTGAAGTAATGGATGAAGTGTATAATGATTGTCATTCAGATTTTGACTGTACTTTCCATTCGTAAAAGAATTTCATTCAAGCTACTGCAACAATTCTGGTTTCCTTTGTGTCAATTGTCCATATTTCTGAAATATACTTTAACATTGCTTTTAATGTAATTTTATGAATTCTCATAATTGTTTCTATTATATTTTTGTAATTTTTTCTTCCATATTTTTTATTCTAATTCAGTTGCATTTCTGAGATATTTAAATATGGTAACTTATGCTCAGTTATTAAAGTTTCTTTACTATTTTTGGCTCAAAGATATTCACTGGAAAAGAATGCTTTTAATTTTGCGGCTAGATATTTCCATCTGGTTTCTTTGTACATTTTGCTCAATTTGAAGACAGCTCTCTGAAGTGTATCTTCTGAGTCTGTTTTATATGGCTTAGTAATTTAAGTATTACAATAATTAGCTGATAATATTGTATTCCATTCAATGATTTAACATAGGATGAAATGTAATTTCAGGGTTGAATTTATGAGCAAGTTCTATGCTGGGGAGGGCTACGCCTTCCAGCCTTTTGCATTCAAGAGCATTCTTGAAGCAGAGGATGAAGAGGATTAAAGCCCAAGAACTATACTGTAGACTGTTTTTCTGGCAGGTAGAAGTGAAAATATTCCATCCAGTTCTCTGTGCCTTAAGTAAAATATGTTTTTGAACATTTTGTTGATTGGTGTCTAGTTACACTGAATCACTTTTATTTTGTAGTATCTTCCTTGAAAGTGAACTCAACACAAAGTAGTGATCATTCTGTATAGTAGTTTGTAAAGGCTAACAATCATTGTAGTTAATTTTAAAATATGAATTGGCATTGTGCCATTTAAATATTTGGTTCTTAAATTTGGTGGAATTTCATCAGCTGATGTTATTATGTGGGCCAGTGCCATTCATTATTTTAGGAAATAATTTTGTGAATTGTGTACAAAAATTAGTTTTACTTTTGTAGATAGGATTATCATGTTTTAATACATGAATGTACATATTAATTCTTGCAGAATAGCACAGAGTGCTAGTGTTGGAGGGAATGGAATGTATATTGATTTTGAAAGGTTTGTAATTTGTAGATATTCTGTCAATATTAAAATATTGTATATTTTCCAAAATCATGATCATTTTTTCTTCTCTAACATTTTTAATATTGCGTACTTTTTGTTCTCTCTCCTGAAGAAAAATATGGAATATGTATATTTAACACTACTTTGCATATAGTAGGAATATAAATTGAAGACATGTATGACATATTTTGTATAAAAATTATTTAATGAAGACTTATTTCCAAAAATTAAAATATAAGTACCATCTCAGGATTTAAGGTCTCTAAAATATCAATTAACTAAGAACTTCAATAAGAAATAAATATGGTTCTTCTTGAGGAGGGGAAGATTAAGCTACATTTGTTGTTTAGAAGCAAAATAAGGTCATCTCAGCATTCTTGCTGAGAATTGCTGGCAAAGTGGAGGATATCTACAATTGAGATGGAGACCTTATTTTACAGAATAATGTTTTATAAATTACATTAGAAGAAACACATGTAGGCCTAAATTATTTTTGAGAACAAATTACATTTTAAAAATTATGATAATTCTTCTTAAATTCTTTAAACTATTGAATTTAACTATTAACTTTAAATCCCAAATTTATTTTAAGACTGCAAACGCTTATACACATAGTAATACACATTGCATTTATTTTACAATTGTAAACATTTTCTATTATACATGTTTTACATTTCTTTTTAATTTCTTCTTCAGGCTCCAATCTGCAAATTGAGATAACATACTGTTAGATGTATTATTGTTCACAATGCCACACATTTATGTCAAAATTTTGTTAATATTATTCATCCTCCTTACTATTTGTTATTTTATGCACATTTTCTTCAAGGCAAGCTCACCACAGACATTCAATGCGTTACAATCTATGAAGTCCACCCACCAGTTCCCCATACAGAGTTGAGAATAATTATTACAGATTTTTATAAAAAAATGACAATGTGATCAAATGCAAAGAGATTGGTAAGACGCTTATTTCCTTTTGGAAAATATGCATAAAATCATAACTGGTAAGAGAATGAACAATTTTAACAATTTTGTTTTCGTAAATATGTGTCAGTGTGAACTATAATACATCTAAGTGTATGATATCTCAACTTCTACATTGGAGCCTGAAGAAAACATTAAAAAGAAATGTCACAACTAAAATAAAACAGAAAATTTATACAAAACTTAAAGAACTCTTATTACCAGGGCCTGGCAATGACGATTTTTCTGTTGAAATATCACAGATTTCTCGTGTATGATTACTAAAGCCCAGAAGTTCAGGCATTTATTTTACATAAAATAGACTGGCAAAAAGGTATTTATTTTTACTACAATAGACATGCAAAAAGGCATATTTCTAGCTAAAGTAGAGGTGCAAATAGGCATAGACACAATGAAAAATCATATTTAAATGGAAATATTATTAATTATTGAAGTTTTTGTTCGAACTCTAAAATTTATACTAGCACTTAACGTGTAAAAAAACAATCTTTTCTTGTTAATTCTGGTTCCTCATCACCATGTGGTATGAAGGCTATGAATTTCTTTTACTCACAACGCTATCTCTTAGAAATGCTAATGTGAACTTCCTTATGGATTTTGATATGCCATCAGTAAAAATTGAATTATTTTTTCATGCCTCGCCCTTGTGTAAGCTAGCACTGACAAGGATATATCATTTACAGAGAGATGGCCTCAAGAAGGATCGTTGACCCAACTCGTGAGGGAACAAAATCTCATCTGGTATAATCTTTCTTTTTCATATTGATTTTTATCACAGTCCCTACGTCCGCAGAGAGACAAATCACGATTGTGCTTTTGTGGTGTCCAGGCTTGCAGGTATGTATCCAACTTGATTGTGATTGCTGCTAGGAGGGAAGAAAAGTAAAATCAACAGGGAGGGGAAAAAAAGAAAAGTAATAATGAGGGAAAAGGCAGGAAAAGGCAGAAAAAGGCAAAAATTAAACAAATTGGCAAAAAATATGCATCAGAAGCTAAAATATTAAAGAATAGAAAAAATGAAAATCTACTAAAACAGCCCAAGAAGTACAACTAAGTGATGACTATTGTTAAGTTATAAAATAGTAATAACAAAAGGTATTTTGCCAAACTTCGGGCTCTAATGATAACAATATTTATGCTTCTAACGAATAATGTAAGAAAGTAAAATTGATGTAGCACAAAGATTTTGCTTGAATTTTAAATTAAAATAATACATTTATGTTTCCAATACTTTCAATTCAAGAATTGCCCTATATGCTGCTGACTCTGAAATTTAAAGAAGGGCACTTCGAACTATTTGCCAATTTGTAGACTCTTATCATTCCATGGCAAATCAAATGATTTTTAAGCAAAATTGAGGTATCTATGAGGAAAGGGCATAGATCCAAAAATTATATTCTGAGGAAGTAGTGTTCAAAGACTTGATGGTTGAGTAATCGGAAATCTGATTTATCACTTGTGATTTAATATGATGAGGGGCTTTTCTTTCACCAAAAGGTTCTTAAACTATCATCCCACCTTTAGTTCTTACAAATTTATTTTCTCCTTTGGTGTCAATTGCTGTGTGAAGTAACTAATTTCAAATTTTCATACATACTGTTTTTCCATATCTATATCTGAATCAATTTCTGAAGTTTGCATCAGTCGCAACTTGTACCCAAATTTTGTTGCTTTAATATTAAAACCAGTGCTTACTATGAAGCAAAATGGATGAGAGAGAATTTACAATGCTTGCAAGATGTCCACTTCAGCTCACTCTAAACTCACGATCTCACGTCAGCTCACTATCTAAACTTAAGGGCATTAGGTTTCAAACACAAGGAATCAAGCAAGGACAGTTGAGAGTAGTATGACATAAACAATGCCACAACCCTCATTTTTCTCTGAGCTTGGATCCATCAGCATTTGCTGTCATTGTGAAGCTGGTCCCACCTGCACCACAATTTTGTATTACAGGTAGTATATACAACTGAGCACAAATTAAAAATGCTCAATGGCAGAGTTTTATAAATCTATTGCATCAGAAAACTAGTGGGGTTACAAATTGGACAGACTTTCTGCTATAAGTTGTTTTCCTATTCTCTTACCTTCGAGCTATCTTTCTGCATATGTTTTGCCATCTTCTTAGCATCTAGTATATGCACCTAAAAGACTTGTCAGAGCCTTTCACAGTATCACTCTCCAATGGGTAAATCTCGGTGAAAAGGTCTTTCTTGCTCCCCAAGTAGCATTAGTTGAAATGTCTGCATTGTTTGAAAATTAAGATATTTACAAAAACAACACCTGCACATTTTTTGTACCCCTAAGCATATTTTGCTCTAACTAAGGAGCCATTTTTGAGAAAATTTTGAAAATATCATCGGAGCTTTATGTTGAGTGCTTTCTCCCCCCCCCCCCTCCTTTTCAAATTCCTAGGGTCTTGAGTTCAGTCAATTTGATCGGGAACTGTTAATTTAAAAGAAAAAAAATCTTTTGAATGGTTTAGACGCTAGTGTTGACCACAGACTGACAGACGTTTTGCTGTCAACCAATTTTTCTATATTGAGGACCCACAACACATGGATTCTGACCATGCAAAATTTTAGAGGAAGTTATTTAATAAATTTATGAAGTAGAATGATTCACTGTTTTAGAACCAGGGATACTTTTGCCTATTGAAAACTTGCATTTTTTTGCCGTAGCATTCCAATACGTTCTCTATGCTATGATAGTTCGCTAAGAGAAATGAAGGAAGGGGCAGAAGCATCAGGAAAACTTGGGAAGGACACACAAGAAAATAATGGATGAAAAGAGGAGCAACTTCTGGAAAACCATGAAATCTATCCCTCTACACAAACCTCAATTTCTCAGTTCCCTAAAGGTAGTACTTTAAGTATATTAGAGAAGTGTAAAACCATGTACTATATTGTAATTTTCATTGAAAAATTTGAAGCCATTTTATAGAAAATGTTTGAGCATTTCTAAAAATGCACATTTTGAAACTCATTTTCACTCAAAACTTTTGTGTTTTTGAGGAAATTTACAAGAAATTATTTAAAACAATTGTTCTCATGAATTCAATAACGTATACAAATCTCTCTTAATATAATTATTAACGGTGTGAGATATTTTTTAAAAATTGTGCAGGTTTTGAAGGAAAAAGTCAAAATAAAATCTTTTTTTAAATGATTAAATTTTAAATCCATTTTAGAGAAAATAGCCTTTAAGCATTTTTGTAATTTCAAGCTCCGTTTCACAGAAAACTTTTGAGTTTTCGAAAAACATTATAAGACATCATTTGAAGCACTCTTTCTCACAAATTTCATAATGTATACAAATCGCCTTTATACAAATATTAACGGCATGAGAGAGATGTCAAAAATATTACAATTATGTAATTTTTGAATAACCATACAGCAAAATGGCGTTTGTGCCGTAAAATACAGTGCCTTCATCAATATCATTACCAAAAGATTAAAGAAAAATTTAGATACTTCTTTGAGAAAATATTTTTTTAAATATTACTCATGCATACTTCACTCAATACTGCGTGAAAAATACTAAAAATTTCAAGAAATGTGCATGATCTTATTGAAAGAACTAATTGAATCGGCGGGTGGAGAAGGGAACAAGTCCAAATGCATTTTTTCCCTGTTGTTGGAAAGTTGTCATGTGTGCCTTCAAGTTTGCAAATCGGGAAATCAATTGAACGCGTTTAAAAGTTCAATGTCATTAAGCAGAAAACACCATCTAGAGGAAATAAATAATCGGGTGTACCTCAAGGGGGAAAAGCAACAATTTTGCACAAAGAATGCCATATTTCAATTGCATTCAACAATACTATGTGAGTATTTACTAGGCTGTCCGGGTGACGCCGCGTCCATGGCGAAGGTGCCGACGTTTCGGTCGCCATTCTGCGACCTTCCTCAGGGCGTAATCATGGGTAATCTTTCATTGTGTTCCCAAAAATATTTGTCATTAACTTGTCCAACAGTGTATAAAAAAATCCGTAAATCACAATTTTTACAATTATTTACATTAAAACACATGAAGTTTGTAACATTAATAGTTTCTGAGAAAAATGCACTAGAGTGCGCTTTTACTTCTCCCTCGCATAAATAAATAAACTAATTATTTATGAAAAAAATCATACATAGAACTTTGGTTATTAAACATTTGCCCGAAGAAAAAGTCCACAATTACTGGAAAAAGCACATTTGTATTTTTTGTTCAATTTAGAGATACGAATGACGCTCTATATGATGGGAAAATCTGAAGCTAAAACAAAGCTAAAATGTACTGTCTTCCCTTAACTCTCCTGGAAATGTTGCGAAAGGGAGGTTTTCAAGGTCCCGCTCTGCAAAAGGCATTTTTACTTTCTCGCTACCACGGTAAAGTGTAGGTAAAGGGGGACCTGGTAAAGAAAATGTGGGTCTTCTAAAGAAAATGTAAATTCATTTGCAAAATTTTGAAAAACAAAAATCCTCTAACATGTGGTGTAAGCAGAATCGATGTTTTGTGGGTCCTTGATACCCAAAAATC